TCCTTCCTTCTTTCCCTCCCTCCTTCTTTCTCTTTCTCTCTCTTTCTTTCTTTCTTTCTTCCTTTCTTTCTTTCAGTTGTGGGATGGTACTTGTGTGGAGGTCAGAGAACAATGTTCAGGGTCCATTGATTCTTATCCTCCACCTTGTTAAGGCAGGATCTCTTCTTTCTGCTGCTGTGCTGCATATCCAAAGCTGGGCCATGAGTTTCCAGGCACTTCTCTTCTCTCTGCCTCTCATCTTGTTGTAAGTATGCTAGAATTACAAATTGTGCACTACTACATCTGACTTTTACATTATGGGGATTTCTGGTATCGAACTTGGATCATCAGGCTTGGGTGGCAGGTGCTCTTACCCACTAAGTGATCTCAGCAGCTTTACCTAATGTCTTTCAGAGTACAGCGTTAGTCGAGTGTGGTAGCACTCTCCTTTAATCCCAGCACTCAGGAGGCAGAAGCAGGTGAATCTCTGAGTTTCAGTCTAGCCTGAGTGAGTTCCAGGACAGCTAGAATATACAGAGAAACCTTGCTTCCAAAAACCAAAAGAAAGAGAAAGAGAGAGAGAGAGAGCAAATATTTTGTTTTTCAATACAACTATTAAAAACAAGAGTCAAATTGAATTAAAAATTAGATAATTTTTATGTTCTTAGCATATTAAATGTGAGGAACTTCGTTTAGATATGGGGTAAATATTGAGTATTTTATATAACATAAAAATCATCATAATAAAATAAGTACAACAACTTTGATAATAGTTTCTTTTAAAAATTAATACTTCTGTTTTTCCTTTAACCACTGTACCCCCTAAATAAGCATTCCTTATTTCTCAGTGATTTCTGGATTTCTGATTTCAATATAACTCAATAAACATGCTTTCAAACAGGTTTTAGAACCTGGTTAACAGCAGCTTGAAGTTTTGCTACCAGTTAATAAAAGTTTTGTTAACAATTTCTTTTCTGGAAAGAAATAAAGCCAAATAGTGTAGAGGTATTCTCAACACCTGCTATCCCCTCTGCTTCTCAGCAGCCATGGGGAGCTTTGCAAGTTCACTCTCCAGGGAGTGGTTAGGTGACCTCCTGGTACATCGCCTCCCCAAGGACAGAACCAGCAGTGGACAGGAAATGTTTCACCCTCAGAACAGGCCCCATGGTGGCAGACAAGTATGTGACATGAAGTGCTGGAGAGATAGGATCAGCATCTAAAGGCTCAGATGCCTGAATTCTTCTCCATACTTGAAGATCACTTGTATCATTCTGTGTTTTGTTTTGTTGAAACAAGGTCTTAAATGTAACACAGGCCGGCCTTGAACTTGTGATCTTCTTGCCTCTCTAGTCCATCTGCTGAGATTACAGGGTTGCGACACTAAGTCTTTTATAAAAATGAAATTTCCTGGACTTGCAAAATGGCATAATGCCTAAAGGCATTTGCTGTGCACCCTTGACAACCTGAATCTGACCCCTGGGACCATCTCAGGAGAGAGCTGACTCCCAAAACTTGTCTTCTAACTTCCACATGTGTGCCATAGGGCACTCCACACTCATGCACACACATCATACACACCAACACTCACACTAGTGAAGAAAATAAAAATTTGATTGTCATTTCCCAATAAATATCTATTACGTTAAAATCTTTCATTATGCTCCAAGCCATGTGACACTGTTTTCTTCTAATTTCCATGTGTGAGTACAAGTAAATACGCAGAGCAGGAGACAGCCTGGAGTCTCATTCTTTAGATGCCGTCTACCGTGCTTGCTTAATTTTTTTAAACATTTATTTATTGGTGGTGAGTGACTGTTGTGTGACAAAGCACTCCCTGAGGAGACAAAGCACACACATCTACTTACCCTAGATAGGTATCCCACAGCAGACCAAAATACAGATACCACCAAAGTCCAAGTTAGTGAACCAGTGTGGTTTTTCTGGGGTAACATACAGGACCAGAAATGACTCAAAGACAGCTGCATCACCAAGACACGCGCCAGCATGGGTGACAGCTGACAAATGCTGGGATATCTGGAACACACATTGTACAGCCTGAAGGCAGCTCAACAGGTTGAAGAGCATCCTTCGAGATACTACAGTTGGTCTAAACCTCTCGTAAACAGCTTTTCTGCTTCTTCTCAGCAGCTGGTCTAGTCTCAGCTTTCTTTGAGACTAGGGTGGCCTGCTACTCACTCCATAGTTGATCCTAACCTTGAACTCAAATCCTACTGCCTTTCTTGCCCAGGTGCTTCCATTACAGGCATATGTTACCATGCCCAGCTAGATTGTCTATATTCTTATATTAAAAACAATACATCTTTAGGTCTTTCCTTTGCCATGTTTTGAGACAAAGGTGGTATAGTAATTTAAGTGAGGTGTGGCCTTGTTGAAGGAGGCATGGTACTGGGGCTGGCTCTGAGGTTTCAAAACCTTACTCCAGGCCCCAGACCATTCTCATCTCATCTCTTTTCTCTTCTCTTCTCTTCTCTTCTCTTGTCTCTGTCTCTCTCTCTCTCCCCCCCCCCTTGCTCCTCTTTTCCCCCTTTCTCCAACTTTCAGTTAAGATGGAAGCTCTCAACTACTGCTCCAGCAATGTCTGCCTGCCTGCTACCATGTTCCCTGCCATAATGGTCATGGACTCACGTCTAAAGTGGGGGCTTAGATGCTTTCTTTTCTAAGGTGTCTTGGTTGTGGTGTCTCTTCACGGAAACAGAACAGTGACAAGGACACTTGATATACTAATGGTGCAGACAGCAGGCACACAGCTCTGCCTCCACGTTAGTGCACATGCAAGGGAAGCAGGAACACGTATTCACGACTAAAAGCAGCAGCAGGAACATGTCATTCATCATTAAGAAATTCCACGTTGGATACATGTTAGGTATAAGGTATTAGGCTAACTGATAAAAATCTGAAGGCAGGAGTTAAATTTTTATTGCTACCTTATTAGCAAATGTTATTCTGGATCACATTTATTTTGTTTCTCTGTGTTTGTGTGTGTGTGTGTTTCAGTTTTTGTTGTTCTTTTTCTCTGTGTAGCCCTGGCTGTCCTAGAAGTCACTCTGCAGACCAGGCTAGCCTCAAACTCAGAGGTCTGCCTTCCTCTGCCTCCCAAGTGCTGGGATTAAAGGCGTGTACTACCACACTCCACACATTTATTTTTAAATTTTACTTATGTGTATGATCATTTTGTCTGCATGTATGTCTGTGCACCATGTGCATGCCTGATACCCACAGAGGCAAGAAGAGGGTGTCGGATCCCCTGGAAATGGAGTTATAAAGTCATGAGCCACCATTATGGGTATTGGGAATTGAACCTGGGTCTAATGGAAGGAAAACCAGTGAGCTATGCCTCCCACCCCTATTTACTGATTTTTGAGACAGCATCTGTTATAGTCAATGATGGCCTCAAACTCACTATATAAAAGGATGACACTGAATTTCTGGTTCTCCTGCCTCTACCTCTTGAAAGCTGGGAGTATAGATCTATGCCACCATGACAGGCTTTCTTTTGTTTTTTGAAAATATATTTGTGTGCTGTGTGTATGCGTTTGCACATTTTTATGTGCGAGCACACACATGGAGGCCAGGGAGGGTACCAGTTGTTCTCTATCACTCTCCACCTTCTCCTCTGACAATATCTCTCCCTGAACCTGGGGCTTTGTTTCTTAACACGCTGGGGGCCAGCAAGCAACAGTGATTCTGTCTTTACTCCACTTGAAACTGGGGCTACATGTGTGGAAGAACACCCAGTTTGCTATGTATGCACTGGGATCCAAATTCTGGTCCTTACAATTGCTCAAAAAGCATCCTTCATCTGCTTTACAGTGAGCTATTTCTCCAGGCCCCATAAGTTTTATACCACATTGGGAATCAAATTCAGAGTTTCATTTCTTGCATGCTATATGAACACTACCAAGTAAACTACATCCCTAGTCTCTTACTCATCAATTTAAAGTGTGCTTATTTAGTGTATGGTTTCTTTTTTCTTTTTAAATTATTTATTTTATGTATATGAGTACACCATTGCTCTCTTTGGACACACCAGAAGAGGGCACCAGACCCTATTGCAGATG